TAAAAGTAATTTTTTCGGTCAGTTTTTTTTTGTTGTATGGGCGGTTTTTGATTTCGGTTCGGTCGTTTTTAGTTTATGATCGGTTCGGTTCGGTCGGTTTTCCACCATGTTAAAAAGAAATTGGTTTTTTCAGTTTCAAACCGAAACCGACTGTTGCTTAGCCATATCAAATCCTCAAATATTATTTATTATACTTTGGCTTTTTTGTCTATAGTATTAAAAATAATGTGGGAAATATATTTTCTTTATTCTGAAAAAATATTATATTGATGTTGAAAATATGGTCTGTGTATATATACATATATTCGAATATCATTCGAATTGAATATATCCCTATTTGTATTTGTATTTGTTTAATATTTGAATCAAAAATAATATTTGAATTTGAATAATGTGAATTCGAATTATCATATTCGAATACAAATCACGAACTGAATTTAAAATATTTGATTTGTTTACACCCCTACAGAGTATCACACATTAGTTCGCTACTCTCGTGCTTTGCACGTGCTTTATGTGTACGATTTTCATTTGAGCATTTTTGTATGTCATGTGTTCAAAGTAGGAGCTCAAACATAAACTCTCATAAATAGGAGTAATTAATTAATTTCTGTTACATGCTAGCTGATCACCGGAAACAATCATTAATTTTTGTTACTCCTGATCACCATATTCAACCTCAAGAATCACCTTCTTCAATCTCAAAAAGTCCCACTAATTCAAATTATTTCTCCCTTCTTCAATCTCAAGAACCACCACCGCCGATCATCATCTTAGTTACATCCTAATTGTTGCCGCCATCACTCCAATTGTCATCGTTGTTGTCCCCTTATACTGACAATATCGAGTGTCTCTCCCACCTTGATCTATCCCAACCACCGCACAAAAGAAGAACACAACCGCCAGGCATCCATGGAGTTTGTCTGACGGCGACGAGACCACTTTCTCTGGTATGCCTGGATTTAAGAAAAATGTTCCGATTGCTTGGCTTAAAATCAAATTTGTTTGCAACATGTCCTTTTTTAGAAAATTAAAGTTTTATTCTCATTTTGCTTCGTGTTGACATTAAACGCGTAATATTTGTTCTTATGTAGTGCCCAGTTTGGTAGTTTACATTTTCACCTTTGACATTATTTGTAGTTACAGTTGACATTTAATAACAACTTCTTTTATTTAACAGTCACTATACACCGATGATTGTTACATGTCTTGTGGTGTCAATGGTAATGAAGGTGACTTGGAGGTGTCGGCAGTGATGAAGGCGACTTAGTGGTGTCGGTAATGACATGGCAATCACCAACAACAACAAATTGCACCATGTGTGGGGCGCGAGAGCAGTGGTAGTGATGTGTGTGTGTTGGCGGCGGTGATAGAAGAAGTAGAGCACGACGACGTGACGGATAGGGGTGCGCGATAGGGGGCAAAAAGACGTGGCGGCATGGGATACATGGTTGGCGGTGTAACGACGTTGGCATGTTAGCTCGGTGACATTTGGGAGTCATTTTTTTAAATTTGTAAATGACTTGAGTTTTATTATATATGGAGTATAAATAAATACAGTAAAAATAAATATAGGGGTGCGGCAAATGATTTGAGTTTTACAAACATTGCCTAGTGCAATTCAATGGAAGGGCCGGGAAGCAGAAAGGAGACCATTGAGTGAGTTAACAACTCTTATTTCGGGGGTTTTATCTTTCAACTCATATTTTAAGATTTAATCAATGTTGTACTAATATTATGCTCCTTAATCCGATATGATATTGTCCTACTTTCTCTCATTCTTTTAAAGAATGAGACAATTCGAAACACTTAAGATTTCCTAATTCAAACTTTTAATATAATGGAAACATAAAATTGATATAAAAAAAAGTGTAATATTTTAACCATGTAAACTAATTTAAAAATTTCATACAAATATCTTTAATAAATCCTCAAATAAAGTACAATACAAACATAAAAAGTATGGAGATTTGAGCCACGAAAGAGGCATTGGCTCATGACCTCATTGTACATCATTATATAGAAAAAATTGGTGCAAATGGATACTACATCATAATAAAGTCACTATCACTCAAAAAACATAATAAAGTATGAAATAATATTTTATTTTACAAGACTTATTAAGTTAGACAAACAAAGTATCTGCAAAAAAAATTAGAAAAAAAGTAATGTAAAAGTATATTTGGGTTTAGACATATTATACACGAGACCGAGACAAAATGAGACATTATTTTTGTCTCAACCTCGTCCTATTTTAAATTGTTTCGAGACATATTCACGACAAAATTTTGTCATTCCAAACAAAATAAGACATTGTAAAGACGAGACCAAGATGTATTAAAATGAGACCTTAGGATTGGGATGCTTGCCCACAAATTGAATACACCCCTAAGGCTTTGTTCTTTTGGATTCGATAAAAAGTTTTAGATGTTGGAAAAACTAGAAGAAGTTGGAACAAATTATGTAGAGTTTGAAAAAGTGGATAGAGCTAGAAAAAGCTAGGAGTTAGAAAAATGAATGTAGTAATGGAATTGGATGAAATTAGATATAGTTGGAAGAAACTAAAAGATAGTCAGAAAAAAGATATTTATTTTAAGGAAAAATTACCCAAAACTGGCAAATTTCAATAAAGTTGGGATTATTGTGCATCACAGTGAAAAGTGGAATTATTTTTGAAAGACACGGTAAAGTTGAGATTTTTTTGGGTAATTTTTCTTTATTTTAATGGGAATAACTAGTAAACTAAAAAAATTTTACTGATGTTCATTTGTCATAAGAATTATACAATTTACTTTTTCTACTATGTAAACAAAAAATTTTAATGAGACAATAAAATTAACTAAATTATTTTATTAAAAAGAAGAAAAACGATGCTCATTTAAAAGTATAAAAAACCAAATTTTGATAAAAATGAGTTGTCTTTGCCATGTTTGAGAGTTTGAAATATTACTTACTCCCTCCGTCCTAAAACTGTCATCCCGTTTGTCTTTATGAGGTTTTACCGACTTTATTTTCAATTCAATTTATTTGATTTTAGGTGTAAAATTAAAAAATAAAATTTATATATTTTAAAACTATATCAAAAGTTTTACAAAACAAGATGTGACAAGATTATATTATTTTATCAAATAACTAACGAAAATATATAAAGAAAGTGATTTAAGTTTGACCGTGTGAATAGTAACTGGGAAAATAGTTTTAGAACGGAGGCAATATATTATATATTCGAACAACCATACTAGGGGTACACCAAGAAGTGTACCTCAAATTGTATCCTAAAGGAATGCTCCATCATTTTAACGATTTACATTGGCATAAAATGTTAGTTCAATAAAAAATAAACTATCATATTGTGTGTTATTGGAAAGTATCACACTAGCACAAAATGTTAATGCATGTCTTCAGAGAAGAAGGTGTGGTACAATTTTTGGTATACAAATATCATTTCACATATTCCAATGCATAGTGTTACTATACTTTTTTCATATGTGCATTTACAAGTTAAACGCTCATTTCATACAATTATCTTAAAAACAATAACAATAGTAATAATAAAAACAATAATAATAATAACTAAAATTATAATAAGAACAACATGAAAAATGTATGCGAATAGTTTTTAAATGATTGTTAGAAAGAATGAGAAGAAATTATAAGAAAATGTGGATTGTAAGCAATTTGAAAAAATGGAAAGAATTGAAAGGATGTGAGAGGAAAAACCGGTAGAAACTCGGAGCAAATAAAGTTACTTGTACACAAAAGATTCTACTCAAGTTGTCTAGTGCAAAATGCTTTTATCACACTAACATTTTATCTCAATATGAATAATTAAAAGATCAGCACAGATACACTTTTTCGTACATAAAACAGGTTTGTTTAATGGTTAGGAACACCCATCACCACACAAGGCCTCATACCCCGCCGGTCTTTAACTAGGGTTGCGTTCCGTTTGCTTGGTCTGATTTGTTCTGACTTTTAGAAGTTCTAATATGATCTGATTAGATCCGATTTGATTTAAATTTAATTAAAATTAAAATTAGAATTAAACTATTATTATAATAGTCATAATAGTAATAAAAATATTAATAATAATAGTAATAATAATAGAAATAATAATAATAGAAATAATAATTATAATTATAATAGAAATAATACTAATAATAATATATAGTAATAATAATAATAGAAATAATAATAATAGTAATAGTAATAGTAATAATAATATTAGTAACAATGATAATGATAATAATAATAGTAATAATAATAGTAATAATTATAGTAACAATAGTAATAATAATTATATTCATGATAATTATAGTCATAATAATAGTAATAGTAATAATAATAATAATCATAATAATAGAAATAATAATAATAATATTAATAAAAATAATAATAGTAGTAGTAATAATAACAATAGCAAGAATAAATATAATAATAATAGTAGTAATAATAACAATAGTAATAATAATTATAATCATAATAGTAATAATAATAGTAATACTAATAATAATGTTAATAATAATAGTTATAATAATATTAAAAAGAGTCCGGTTCCATGGCCACTGGATTTCAGTGGCCACGGAAGCCACTGTCTCCCTACGGAGCTCCGTTCATAAAATTGATGATTCCTACCCCCTAACCCCCCGGTAAACTCCCCCGCCTAGTCCCGACCCAAACTAATCACTACATCTACGTCAATTGCACCTCGTAAGTATAAAGTCAAAACATTTGATTTTAAAGTCAATTATACTTACGAGATGCAATTGACGTCGGTGAGGTGATTAGTTTGGGTCGGAACTTGGTGGGGGGTTTACCGAGGATTAGAGGAGGTAGGAATCACTAATTTTATGAACGAAGCTCCGTAGGAAGGCAGTGGCTTCCGTGCCACTGAAATACAGTGGCCATGGAACCGGACTCCATTAAAAATAATAATATTAATTATGTTCAGAGAATCAGCTTCCCAGGAGATTTTAGAATTTAGGTCTGTTGATGCCGCCGGACGCCCTGGTATGAATCTAAGCTACAACTCCTCTCCCCTCCCGTCTCGCCGCTGCCGGAAAAGTCAGTACAATCGAAGAAGCTCGTGCTGACCTCGGGCCTTTCAGAGGCATCTGATGATCTCCGGGACAGTTAGCCACACGCCATTTGGAGTGTTCATCCGTGTCCGGGGAGTGTCCCTGTAACCCGACATTCCCGATTCTCAATTTCGGGCAAAATTTCGAGAAGTTCCTTTCGTTCTGTCTGTGCCTGCTGAATCGTTTATGAACACGAGCAGTTAAAATTGTTCGCCAATGTCATGGTTTCGGAATAGCTCTTTTCCGAAAATGTCATTGTTGAAGCTTTTTGTTTAATGAAATGAGTTATTTTACAAATTGATTCTGTTAATGCTGCAATTCTCTGAAGGATGCGTCTCAAGCTGGAGAAGAGAGCATAGTGGCGATGAAGACCACATCTCAAGGTGGACAAATTTTGTTTCTTTATCCAATTGATAGACACGCTTTTTGAAACTGAAGAAGACAGCAGAATGGCTCTGAAGAGCGCGGCTACTGGTTCTCTCTGGTCCATTCGTTCAGTGTTCTTTGCTCTCTCAATCATCTGCTCTATCTCCCTCTTCATCTTTTTCTTCTCCAGTTTTATTCCTATGCTACGACCTCCTCGTAATCTCCAAAGCACCACAAGTTCAATTAAAGTGTTTGTTGCAGACCTCCCGAGATCCCTCAACTATGGCCTTCTTGAGCAGTATTGGTCCATAGACTCCGATGCGAGGCTGGGAAGTGAAGTAGACAATGAAATTAGGAAGTCCATTTTGTCTAAACGTTCGGACAAATTTCCTCCATATCCCGAGAACCCACTGATCAAACAGTACAGCGCGGAGTACTGGATATTGGGTGATCTTATGACTCCTCCAGAATTGAGAAAAGGGTCGTTTTCTGAAAGGGTGTTTGATGCTAAGGATGCTGATGTGATTTTAGTGCCATTTTTTGCAACATTAAGCGCTGAAATGCAACTGGGGCTGAATAAAGGAGCATTTCGGAAGAAGGTAGGGAATGATGACTATAAGAGGCAGAAATTGGTTGTTGATTTATTGAAGCAGACTGAGGCCTGGAAACGCTCAGGAGGCCGTGACCATGTATTTATCCTCACTGGTATTTTCTCAAATTACAATCATCTTTGTTAGAGGTAGTACCTGATCAATATTCCCCACAGGACTGGTGATTTATGGTCGTTATTCCACGTAGGCAGCCATTCTTATGGTTATTGCTTAAGCCTTTGTGTTATGTGAATGCTATGCTATCCCCATCTAAAAAAGATTCGTATTTGAAGAAGGTACACCTTTCTATTTTTGTTAGAGCGCAAATGGTGAATTAAAATATTACCTATGGATAGGACCGGTGAAGAAATCCTTGGCAATTGGCCACAAAAACCCAAGTTCTGGCCTTGCAAAGAAGTTTTGAAGTCAGTGTTTTGGTTTTAAATAAAGATAATTAGAAAAAGTGTGCCACCAAATGGGCCGATATAGAATGTTGTTTTGAATTTTGATTCCATGTAATATCACTTTGCAGATCATTTTTTGCTATTGTTGCTTCAAGATTGTTCTCACCCACATAGTATAAAAAGGAAATAAATGCTTTTTTTTGGCTATTTATTTGACTATTCTAGTTCATTTTCATTCGATGATTTTCTGTTTCAAGTTTGATGGTATCTTTGGAAGTGATTTTTGCTTAATCTTTTTGCAGCTTATACTTAGCTCTTTGATTGTTATATTGATGTTGCATTAAAAGTTAAAACATGAAGTATCCTTTGGCAGACCCTGCTGCAATGTGGCATGTTAGAGAGGAGATTGCTCCAGCAGTTCTCCTAGTAGTCGATTTTGGTGGTTGGTACAAGCTTGACTCAAAAACAGCCAATGAGAACACAACAAATATGATACACCACACTCAAGTTTCATTGCTGAAGGATGTGATCGTGCCCTACACACATTTACTCCCTAAATTGCAGTTATCAGAAAACCGGAGACGCCCTACACTTCTTTACTTCAAAGGAGCTAAGCATAGGCACCGGGTCAGTATTTACATCATGGGGGTCTTATACAGATATCTAGTCTTATGATTCTCTTTTTTTTAGTTTTTTATTTTATTTTTTTTATTTAGCTATGTTGGGTTTTATTGGGGTAAGATTGTGTACATATTGACCCCACCAGACCTCAATGAAGTTCGGGTTATACTGGGTTGGTTGTGATGGCTAAAAAGGGTTTGTTTATGAATCAATTAGCCATTGCTTGAACTGAATGGTAGTTCTGATTCCTTCATGGTTAGATATACTTCATCTCATCAACACTTTCAGCTGTTCTAAATTAAAGCCTCGTTCCACACACACTTATGGTTTTACCACAGCGCCAATGCGAGGCGCCGCGCACTGATAGTATACAGCCAGGATGCCTAGTCGACTAAGTGACCCTTAAGGGACAAGTCATAAATGAGAGTTAGTGAATTAGTAACATTATAATAAACCTATCATATACTCCGTAATATATTGCAATTCATAAACTTCAAAGTGAACCACCTCACAGGGACCTCTGTTCCAGTGAGAGCTGTTGATGGGCAATGGCAAGCAGGGGCCGACCGACGTTGAATCACACGAGTTCAAGCGACCCCACGGAAATTTTAAATTTTTTTACCTATATATATATTTTTAGGTGTATACTTATACTTAGTATATAACTCACAAAACGCTACATGACACAACTTGGACACCCTGAAGAAGTGGAAAACTCCGCGTTTCAGGGGTGCTGGCTGCCTAGATGTCCTAGGTTCGATTCCTGCTGCAGCCTAATTTTTTTAAAGGCGACCAACTCCCAGACTTGCGATTTTGCCTCTATGGACGACCCCAATTCCCAGCCCCAAGCGCCGATTTTGCCCCAAACTCTCAACCCAATCTGTAATTTTGCCCCAGCCGCCTCTGTCACTGACTTTGGACGGTCAGAGCTCTTCCGCCTAAACGCCTGAATCCGGCGACACAACATTGACACCCCCAATTACTCAATCAGATCTTCATCTTCTATTGCCACTTTGCCAGGTTTTTTTTCTTGACATAATTGAATCTAAACTAGATATTTCTTTTTTTATTTGTGAATTGTGAATATTTTAATTTACTCTTATGAATTTGTTATTGTGAATAGGGAATTGAATTTGTTTATTTATTTTGTAAGATTGGGATTTGTCAATATGTTAAAATAATTAGGTTATTTTTTTAAGTTTATAATGTTTCTAATTATTTAATTTTCATTCAATATAGGATGCAATAGATTTAATCGTATTGTTTAATTCCTGGCCATAAGTTAGTTAGTTTAGATTTGAATTTTAAAAATAAAAGGGACAGTTTTTGGGTAGTTATTTATAGGTAGTTATTTCTAGAAGTTGTATTAGTTAGTAATAGATGTGTTGATTAGTACCAATAGTTGTGTTGGTTGCTGTCTATAAATACTCGAGGAACATAGAATTCCTGTATGTAGTTCACAATAAAAAAATCAGAACTCTATTCTGCATTTGATTTGTTCTTCCTATTATTTTCCTACAAT